TCCTATAAAAATGGAGTAACCATTATATTTATTTCAGGATTTATGACAGGATTAAATTATATAAAGCACATAAAGTGATGTGTATTTTTTAATTTTTTATCTGCGTCTAGTGTTATAACCAGATTTACAACGTTTATTTATATTTATTGCTTTTTAGTTGTTTGCAATGTCCATTGTTAGGGCTTTTCCATCATAAACTCCATCTTTGGGTAATTCTCCTTAAAGAAACATACAGGATGGCATATTTTCCCCACCTCTGTATGTGAGAGAATGTCTTTGTTAAATTCACAACAGAAAGATAATCTTATAAAATATGGTCACAAGGTGGCATATTCCTCCTGTCACTACTGCCTGTTGCTTTGATTCACTAACACGATGTCATAGATTTTAAAACAAAACAAGACATTATTCCCATCACTCAGGGAAACTGGAAATTTTCCTGCCTCTGATTCCCTTTACTGATCTTGATTCTTGACATCTCAGAAGGATCTCTGCCAGCCCCACTCTGTTCTCTTCCTCAGCCCCCTTCCATCTTTCCCCAAACACAAGTTTGTCCTATCTTTTTATAGCACACGCTTTAATGTAGAAAGAGGGTTGCAGTGAAGAGGGGGGTGAAGGTGAGTGTCCTTTATGCAGGTCCCAGTGGAAAGACAGGGACTGAGTTCAGTTTCTGGTTGATCAAACCATGAGAATCTGAATCAGGGTGCAGGCGGTGAGAAAAATATAATGCATCACCCATCCTTTACCCCCCAGCACACTTTTTTTTCACAGAAGTCTTTATTTCATGGGATGAAGCCAGGGCAGTTTTTCTCAAATCAGCTCCATGTTGTCATTACCGTACCTTTAGGTTGCTTCTCCAACCCAGTTTTTGGTTTAGTGAAAGTTTATCATTTTCTGTGTGGTATAGGCCAGAGATTTTGAATCTAGGCACTATTAAGATGTTGGACTGGATGATTCTTTGTTGTGGGGGCTGTCCAGTGCATTGTAGGGTGTTTAGTTGGATTCCTGGCCCCTACACTGGATGCTAGTAACACCATTTCTCCAATAAGTGTCTCCAAACATTGCCCAATGTTCCCTGGTGCAGGGGGTACAAAGTCACCCCCTGTTGAGAACCACTGCTAGACTAGAGAATATAACACACTAGAGAGCTCTGGGATGCCGTGCCAAGATTGAAGTAGCCGTGTTAATAATGTTCAGGCAAGACTTCTCTATGTCCCACTCTCTTACCATGAGGAAATTAACATAGGCCTGACTCTTCAGTCCATTGGAAGTACACAATGCCAGAATACGTTAGCCTTATACTCTCACCCCTAGGGCATGTGTCAGAATTGTCCAGGGATCTTTAAATGTGCCTAAACCCATGGTAATAACTCAAAATATTGTTACGTCCATCAATACTTTGAAAATAAGGCATTTACTAGAAGAGTTGATAGACGATGTTATTTAATGTGATCATAAAGAAGTACATGTATTACTATATGACAAATTTAGTTTTTAAAAATATTTTGACAACTGTATTTTAGTATAATTGGATTTTCTTTTGTGCCAAGAAAGGCAAAGATTCCAAGAAGGGCTGAGAAGCAAGATGTGGAAAAGAAAAATTTATTCTAATTCCCATAGGTGTTCAATTACAAACTCCTGCTAGAATTGGGCACTGCTACATAATTCAGCACAGTTAGATGTAAATATAGCAGGCATCAAGCAAACTTACTGTCCCAAACTAAAGATCAGAAAGCCCTTGCAGAACTGATTAATAATTCTTTCCTATAGGAACCTCCTAAATTTTAGGGCAGGCTAAGCTTCTCAGGGTTTTGTCTCTACCTTGCTTTTTGAACTCAGTTGTATTCCCATTGTCATGTGACTCAATATGGTAACTGTTCAACAAATATTTCTAGCTTTCTGCTTCCTGGGAATATGGTAGGATTGTACTTCCCTAGTCCTTTTGGAGTTAGACATGGCCATGCAACTTTCTTTGGCCAATGAAATGGAGCAGAAGTGGATGTGTATCACCTTTCGGGGCAACTTCAAGAGCCAATGAGCAATTCACTGTGTCTTCTTTTTTTCAGAACATTCATGAAAGCATATATTGAGAGGATAACCTTTATGGCTACAGGTTTGGGTTTATAGGATCAAGTTCATGTGGATATAACAGAAAAATTCAATGTAAAAGGGGTAGATAGGCAATCTGAGGTGAATATGGTGGTTCTGCTCTGGGAGGTCTGCAGGAACCCAGGCTCTTTCCTGCTTATTACTCACCCATTGTTAGAATATGAACATCATTCTCAGGGTCCAAAATGGCTGCTACAGTTCTGCCACCTATTTATGTTCCAGGCAGAAAGATGGAATAAGGAAGGAAAAGAAGAGACAACAGATAAAAGACAATGGCTGTCTTTTAAAAAGGTTTTCTGGAAGCTGCCACACAAAACCAGGACTTACAGATCACTGCCCAGGACCTAGCTACATGGCCACATCCATCTGCCAGCCTGGATTGGATACATAGTCTTTATTTCAGGCACCATTGTGCCAAGCCAAAATTCAGGAGCTCCACCACTGTTCAAGAAGGGGAGACCAGATGTGGTGAGTGGGTGACTAGGAGTCTCTGCCACTCTGAGCATATGACTTAAATTAGAACAACTAGAATGGCCCATCTCTTCATCCACACTGTGGGGTTAAGTGATGGCCATACAATCCATGCCCACTCCAGTGGAGTCGTTCTTTAAGGTGATGGTGGTGGTGGTTTTTGTTAATTTTTTTAACTGGAGCTCTTGGAGAAGTCTTTCCTTCTCAGGTCATAAATCTGAAGACAGAGACTAAATCTAACATGCAGAGAGCAACAGAAGCGAGAGAAAAATTGAAGACCTAGGTAGGATTTCCTTTTCCAAGCCTATTTGAGACCGGTCTACCCCTGCCCTTTCTCTGGTTTAGTTACATAGGCCAAGAAATCCCTTTCTGTCTATATGAGAAGAAGTTGGGTGCCTATTGCTTGCAATCAAAGTCCTAAAGCAGTTGTCTGCCTCCCTGGGTTTTTGTGGGGAACACATGTGCTGGTACACATAGTAGTTTCCATGGTACTTGGCACGTAAAAGTCCTAAAATATTGGCTCCTGATGATGTGTTTGAAATAACACAGAGTAGATGAAATTTGGACAAACTTTCTCTTTTTTTTTTAAACCTCAGCTCAGATGAGGTCTTGCTCATGCCCCGGAAGATTTAGACCTTTCTTCTTGCTCCCCCTTCTCCATTCTTACAATTGTCCTACTGCTTTGTAACTGCAAATCTATGTTCTCTTCTGATATCCTTTGAACTTTTGGAGGACTGGAACTGAGTCTTATTTACCTTTAAATCCTCAGTATCTACCATTCTGGCACAGTAGGGGGTCAATAAATATTGTTAGAAAAATAAACATTTGAAGACTATTTACGATTAAAGGTGGCAATAACAGCAACCAGCATTTATAGATTACATGTTGTATTCTAAGCACTGTCCTAAGAACTTTATATTTTTAATAACCCTTAATACGCTGTTACTACTACTCCATTTTATAGATAAGCAAACTGATGTCAAGGTCATACAACCAGTGAATGACAGAGCCAAGATTTCATCCCAGGCAAACTGACTCTAGGGTCCTAGCATTTCAACCAATACACTATGATATCTCTCACTGAAGGTATTTCATTAAATATAGATGGAATTAAATCATTTGATATTGGAGACAGAGGAAACTTTGAAATTATTGAATTCCATCATGAAATATATGCGCAAACTGAAGCTAAGGATTGGAAGTGACCTGGTTCAGGTGGTTTATATGACTGCAGATGCATATCTGCACAGGACTCCAGACTCCTAGTTGGAATCTTTTAACCAAGGACCCCACCTCTTATGCAAAGTGTGCTCCTCTTTGCACTTGTACCACTCCCTTTGGCATCTTGCTTTGGAAACCATCCTCCCCTCCCAAGACAACTTGTGTTTCAAAGTAGCTATGTGCCAGGTACCATTCAAAGCCAAGGAAATAGACGTCTATGGGTCTCACCTGTTGAAACAGTCCACAAGCACATGAAAGAGGACTTGGGAAAATGGACCCCCTACTCATTCTTCAGATCTCAGCACAAACTCCACATCCTCAGAGAAGGCTTCCCTGGCCTCTCCAAGGTCAAGTCTGTCTACCTAAGATTTCCTTCATAGCACTTAGCACCAATAGCTGTAACTATATATATTATTTGTGGAATATCTGGCTAATGGTCACCTCACTTGTTACCCTATGAGTTCCTTGGGGACAAGATCCATGTTAATTTTTGTTCCTCCCTAAATTGTTGGTGTCCTGACACGTAATAGGCACTCAAAAATATTTTTTGAATTAATGAAGGAATGAACAAATGGATGAATAAACAAATGCATGAATGATGCACAATGACAAATCATCCCTCTGGGTTGCACAGGGGTAGACGTAATCCCTACGTGGTGTGATCTGTGGGGGCTCTCAAAAGTCTGCACACTCACACACCCCACTAACCAGAAATCCCCCACAGGAAAGTCAAACATCTATTTGAGGGCTTTGGGGCACCGAAGAGGGAAAAAGAGATACGAAAGGTGAGCAAGCAGTTTTCAAATGATGCTTTCAACTCTGGCCAGTCCGTGTGTGTTTTCCTCTACAAAGTGTTTCCAATTACTGTGGCACTCTCGGTATCTGGATCCATCTCCAGTGAATTCCTCTGCAGCTCCTGCCAGACATATGGGATCAATCAGGGCTCCAGCGCTGGTGCGCTTGCTGCGGGAATGTTGACAGCCTGACAGACGCGGGGTTCTGGTGTCATGGAATCTCCGAGTCTTTGGCTAGATCCCGGGAGGAGAATGAGAGGGGGAGGAGAGAGATAGAGGCAGAGATAGAGGAGAGGGGAGAGGGAGAGACAGAGAGAGGAGGAAGAGAGGGAGAGAAGGAGGGAAGCGGGAGATTTTCCTTGACTGCCCCCTTTCCTTCAAACATTTTATAGGCTTCAGGGAGAGAGAGGAGGAGGAGAGAGGGAAGAGAAAAGACGAGCGCGAGAGGGATAGAGAGCGCGCGCGTTCCCTCCCGAGTCCCCGAGCTGCCGGAGGAGTCTGGATTGTGTCCCCAGTGTCAGATGAAAGGGCGCTGAGGCTCGCGGCCGCCGTCCCGCGCCCCGCGTTGCGCACGCCCCTCTGCGAGCCCGGCCGCCGAGCATCTCTCCGCGCCGGGGCCGAAGCCAGCGCTGCGGGCCGGCCGCTCCGTCTCCAGCGCAATGTGGCCGCGCCTGGCCTTTTGTTGCTGGGGTCTGGCGCTCGTTTCGGGCTGGGCGACCTTTCAGCAGATGTCCCCGTCGCGCAATTTCAGCTTCCGCCTCTTCCCCGAGGCCGCGCCCGGGGCTCCGGGGAGGCTGCCCTCGCCGCCCGCGCCCGGCGAGGACGCGGCGGAGAGCAAAGTGGAGCGACTGGGCCAGGCGTTCCGGCGACGCGTGCGGCGGCTGCGGGAGCTCAGCGAGCGCCTGGAGCTGGTCTTCCTGGTGGACGAGTCGTCCAGCGTGGGCCAAGCCAACTTCCTCAGCGAGCTCAAGTTCGTCCGCAAGCTGCTGTCCGACTTCCCCGTGGTGCCCACGGCCACACGCGTGGCCATCGTGACCTTCTCGTCCAAGAACAACGTGGTGCCGCGCGTCGATTACATCTCCTCCCGCCGCGCCCACCAGCACAAGTGCGCGCTGCTCAGCCAAGAGATCCCGGCCATCACCTACCGCGGCGGCGGCACCTACACCAAGGGCGCCTTCCAGCAAGCCGCGGTAAGGCGCCCGCCCCTCCGCGACCCCGGCCCCCGATCCCCGGCCCTTCCCACTCACTACTGCCTACCCCTCTCTCAATCTTCGGCAAGCCACAACCTTCCCAAGTCAAGCGTCCCCATCCACAAAATCAGAGTCACACCTACCCTCCTATTGTTGTGGGGGTCCCATGAGATAATGGATTTTAATCGTTTATCTGGGTGACAGGCTCTTTAAGTGGGCGTCTTTAAGGACCCTTTTAGGAAGAGGTCCTTAAGATGCTGTTCACCTTCACGCTTGTAGGGACAGACCGTTCCAAGCCAGAACAGGTAAGTACGTTTTAGGAAGAGTCTCTAAAGGTAAGACGTGGAGAAAGCTCAGTATTTCCCCAGTTCTCTTTTACATAATTTTATGCTTTCAGTATGCATTTCGTTCCATGCCCTTCTTATTTTTGCTCTGAGTCCTTTACAAGACTTTTAGCTTCTGGAAGAGAAGCCAGTATTAGATGATGGACTTTTACAAAATTTAACTTTTTCTGATTACAAAGGAATATATCTTCAATTGAAGAAAATTTGGAACATGTAGAACTGTCTGACACGTAGTAGCAATGTTTGTGGAATGAATGAAGTGAAAAGGAGGAAAAGGAAAAGAAAGCACAATCCCATCACTCTTAAAAAGCCACTGTTTACATGCTGTTTACATTCGCCCAGTATGCACATCTGTGCATACTTTTAACCAAATTGGTGTCTTGCTGTTTTGCAGCCTACATTTTTCATTTGTCATATCATGAAATGATTACATTATTATATGATATATCTAATATAATGTAGATATCGTATATCTCCCTTAGTTGCATGCTATTCTGTTGAATACATACATCATAATTTACCCGTCACCTATGGTCAGACACTTAGATTTTTTATTAAGCAAGTTATGGTAAACATAAATATTTGTGGAGCCCTTTAATTACTTCTTTACGAAGAATTTCTATAAAGTTCCCGAATTAAAGGAAATAAACGTCTGTAAATTTCTTGTACATATTGTCCAATTCTCCTTTGAAGGGTTGTATAGATTTACATTCCCACCAGCAGAATATCACAGCAGTAAGTTTGCCACGTGGTCACCAATATCATAGACTACTGTTTTTAAGATCTTTGCTAATTTGGTAGGTGAATAGAGGTATCACTTTAACAAACTCATATTTTTTATTGAGGATGAACATTTTCCAGTACACTTACTGGGTATTTGTATTTTTCCTTTGATAATCACTTGGTTGTATGTTTTGTCCATTTTGCAATTATGGCACATGTTTGGAGTTGTTTTCTTAATGATTTGTAAAAACTCTTTATATAGTAAGGCCAGTAACTGTATTTTGTTTATGCTGCAAATATTTTTCCAGTTCACATGTAAGTCAAAACATTTTGCTTTTATTTATTGCAGTGTTGTTAGATGGATGATTTAAGTTTTTATATATTCAAATCCATCAAACTTTGTCCTTTAGATCTTATATTTTCCTATATTCTTAGAATGGCCTTCTCATTTCCCGAATTGGAGAAATAATTTTCCATTTAACAATTTAATCCATACGGAACTTACTTTAGTGTGTGGTATGACAAAGATGTCTAATTTTATGTTTTAATAAATAATTAACCAATTGTCCCGGTATCATTGGCTTAATGGCCATCTATCCTTTTCCAATTTAGCAAATGCCATTTTTATCATATACTGAATGCTTATGGGTATTTGATCTCCCCATGGCTTTCTATTAATTTTTTGTTATCCTGGATAATAAGATATTCCATCCTCTTATCTATTGTTTTTAAACTTTGCAAAAATGATTTAATTATTATAACTTTACAATATATTCAAATATCTGGTAGTGCAAATTCTCTCTCCTTTTATCTATTCTTTTTACATCACTTCTTATGTATTTATTACTTAGGATGAATTTTTAATTCATTTTCACATATTCCAATTGAAACCAGCCAGGATTTTAATTTCAATATAGAAAATATTGAATTAAGTTGGGGATTATTTACATTTTATAGTAATAGTCCTTCCAAGAAAAAGTATGGTTTGCCCATTTATAACCAGTTCTTTTTATATACTTCAGTAAAGTTGTAGATCTCTAGTAATTAAATCTTGCATATATTTTCCAAATTTAGACCTAACTGTATTCTATTTAGACCTAAATATATTCATTCTATCATGAATGACATCTTTTCAAATTATATTTTAAGCAATTATTCTTGATGTATAGAAACATTGTTGATTTGTTTTAGCATGTCTTCTGTATCTGGATTCTTGGTGAAATAATCAGGAAAATTTCCTATAAATATACTGTAATATTTTGGTACATACCCTTCTTGACTTTTTGCAGTTGTCTAGGTAATAGGTATGTTTTCATACATGTATGTATATCCTGCTTAATGTTTACTCAAAAAAAGATCATATCGTACGTTCTTTCTTGTAACTTGACTTTCTATTACACCGTATTTTCTGTCTTCTTTCCATAATAAGAAATACCCTTCTACTTTATCATTTTTCATGGCCACACTGTATTCCGTTGTAGAACATACCTTTTTTATCATGTAATTGCCAATATTATATATTTAGGCTGTTACAAATGACACTGGATAACTAAATCTTTGCCCATATCGCTAATAATTTCCTTAACGCATATTTCTGAAGTGGTAGGTATTGTTGCAACAAAGACTAGGCCCCTTTTTTTTAAGGCCTTTGATACATGCAGAAAATTGGTACCAAATTGCCCTCCCATATGCAGTGCCTGGATCAGTATCTAGGATGCAGCCAAACGGGTTAGTATCATTTGAATGTGCCACCTCGACTTTATATGTGAAAAATGGAGTCCCATTTTCAATTGCATTTCTTTATTAGTGAGGCTGAACACTTTTTTTTGTATATTATTGGCCATATCCAGCTCTTCTTTTTTGACTATCCATTAAAATATTTTGGGACTATTATCCATTTTTCGTATGAGGATGGTTCTTTTCCTTATTGATTTGCAAATGCTCCTTAAATCTTAATGATATTAACTCTTCTGCTTCTAAGTACAAGACAAGTATTTTTTTTTCTTGGTGTTTCACTTGCCTTTTAATTTTGTTTCTGGTGATAGCATCTATCACTTTATCACTCCATTGAATCTTTTTTCTTTTCATTTGTGCTTTTATGCATTTCCTGTGAAGTTTGAAAGACTTTTGCCTTTAAGAGATGAAATAATGCCTTAAAGATGCTCTCTGTTTATTGAAGCAGTTGCAGTGGGCAGGGTTCAGTTTTGCAGACCCAGTACTCTATTGGCCTCCAGTCCAAATACTCATGAGGTCCCGGTGTCTGGCCTTGTTCCTGATGTCCCTGCCTACTCCATCAGAGAAGATCCCTACTGCATCAGGGAGAAACTTGCCATATCCCAGCTCCTCTGTTTGGTTTGGCCAGGTTTGCCTGGGGCCTCTGAGTACCTTTGATCCAAAATAGTTAAATGGGTAATGAGTTGAGTATGCACTGCTCGCCTCAAGACCTGCTCTGTCTTCAGCTTTCTCCTTCCAAATGCTACATCCTGTCTTGGAAAGTAGAATTGCCAACGAGGTTCCCAGTGCCTTTCTTCAGTCTGGATCCATTTGTAATCAACAAACAGAAAGTTCTCAAAATTTGTGTCCACTGAACTTCTCCTTGACTGTATTTTTCTTTCTCATTTTGGTTTGGTTACGAGAAGGTGCAGGAGAGGGTTGGCTGGACTCAGTCTCTGTCTAACCTGGAAACCTACATGTCTTTATTGTAACTTTCCCAAACCTCTGGTGAGCATTCTTAGGTATAATTAAAATATGATATTCGGAGAAAGTTGATAGAAGATGACTAGTGTTTAGAAATGGCATCGGTGAGGTTTGAATGTGAATTTTCACATAGAGGGCAGGTAAGCATTTTTCGTCTCCGAATGAGTTTGAAAATGGTAAGCTGTGTGGCTTGGGCTTGGCTATGAAACTTTCACATTTCACCGTGGAAATTAGACAGTTCATCAGTTCCAGTGTGTGTACGGAATGGTAATATCGGAAGGGCCTGTGATCTGTGAAATTGAAAATCATAGGTACATTTTTGAGGTAATTAATTACTTTCCCCAGAAAAGTTAGCTTTTCAAACATTTTCCCTTGAAAACTGAATGCCCACACAACTATACACAGACACAGATACAGACATACATGTAGATGCGTGTTTGTGAGTACACAGCTACCCCACACAATTCGAACACCTTACGCCTCTTATGTAAAATCTCAGGATGTAGAATTTCCTTTACCAGTGTGAAATTTGCTGTCATCTCTCAGCACATGTGATTAACTAAACAAAAAGTCTAACTGTTGCTTCATTGTTTTATTTGGTGTCGGAATTGTACAACTTAATGGGCAGTCTATGTGTGGACACTGTTATCACACTTTATTTGAATGGATAAACCGCAGTGTCGAGTGTTTCTTTTTAAACACCACCGCCTAGCGCTCATCAAAGAGTGCGAAGACTAAAGGAGTGAAATCTGTAGTTAGCACAGATCCTTCCAGAGACACAACCAATAGAATGGGGAGTTAGCACCTTGAGGTTAATTACATGAAAACGTTTTATGAAATTAACAGAAAGCTCGTCAGCTTTTCCTTTCCTGGGAATGATTGTTTCATAACGAACCTTCCTCTTGGTTTTTCTTCTCACCATGTATTTATGTATTGCCTTTCCTAAACTGCATATTTTGGATTGACCCCACTATGCGTGCAGGACTCTCCATCTTCTAAGCCTTTCACATCAAAGTAAAATCAGAGCCCCTCATTCCCACTTCACTTGAGCTAAATATCTGTTAAATAAACATAGCATGAAGCTTCCTTTGAAAAAAAAATTTCTGCTTTCTTCGTTGTTCCAGAGTTCTAGAAATATGATCCTCTGGTGGGGAATGTGCTGTCTTGCCAAAAATCTGAGCTTCAGATGGCCAGAAGACTGGGAATAGATAGGCAGAAGCTCTTCTTAGCTTCAAG